CGGCCCCGGGGCGGCCGCGGCGTCGTGGGGAGGGCCGGGCTGGCGGCTGCCGGGGCGGGTGTTGGAGCTGGTGTTCTCGTACCTGGAGCTGCGGGAGCTGCGGAGCTGCGCGCTGGTCTGCAAGCTGTGGCACCGCGTCCTGCACGGCGACGAGAACAGCGAGGTGTGGCGCAGCCTGGCCGCCCGCTGCCTGGCCGAGGAGGCCCTGCGCACCGACATCCTCTGCAACGTGCCCACCTACAAGGGCAAGGTGAGGCCGGGACCCCCGAGCCGCCGGGACACCCCCACCCCGCCGGGACACCCCTTCACCGCCTCCCCCGGCGCTTGGGGACACCCCCGCGGCCCTCCGGCCCACCCGCCATTGGAAACGAAGGGGGCGGGCGGCTGGGAAAGATGACAGGGTTTTATCTCCGAGCCACAATGGTTTGGGTTGAAGGGGCGCCTCCCACTAGAGCAGGCTGCTCCGAGCCCCGTCCATCTCCCCCACCCGCCTTCTCTCGCCCAGGTCCGTGCCTTCCACCACGCCTTCAGCACCAACGACTGCTCGAGGAACGTCTACATCAAGAAGAACGGCTTCACGCTGCACCGCAACCCCATCGCGCAGAGCACGGACGGGGCGCGCACCAAGATCGGCTTCAGCGAGGGCCGGCACGCCTGGGAGGTGTGGTGGGAGGGCCCGCTGGGCACCGTGGCCGTCATCGGCATCGCCACCAAGCGCGCCGCCATGCAGTGCCAGGGCTACGTGGCCCTGCTGGGCAGCGACGACCAGAGTTGGGGCTGGAACCTGGTGGACAATAACTTGCTGCATAACGGGGAGGTGAACGGCAGCTTCCCGCAGTGCAATAACGCGCCCAAATACCAGGTGAGGGGGTTTGGAGTGGGCTGGGGGGTGCTGGCTGTCCCTCATTGTCCCGGCTGGCTGCTGAGGTGCTCCTAAGTAACCCTCAGAGGTCTCTTTGGCTTCCCTGCAGAAGGCAAATGATTCTACCTTGTGAGCCCTTTTCCCCCTTCATTTACTGCTTGTGCAGGCTACACCTGTCTGGTGTTCAGTGCACCTGACCCTGGGTTGTTCCCACACTTCAATCTCAAACAGTGAGTGTGAAACCTGTAGTTTGGGTGTCTGCTTAGACGTCGTGGTGCTTTTTGGAATAAACCCTGAAATACTCACGTAGCTTTCTGAAGTAGCGACTTGCCCCACAGCAAGGTGAGTGTCTGAGGGCTTGTACCCCTTTGTTGTCTGGCAGGGTGAGCTGAAGTTAGTGCTTAGGTGAGAGTCTTCCTGCAAAAACCTGCAGCGGTGCCAATTGCTGCTGTTTTGCTCACTGGCCACCTTCTGTGGGTGACATCCCTTATCTGGAATCTGATGTTCAGATAACTTCAGGGTGTTAAAGAGCAGAGGCCAGCCTACCTTTTTGTCCTTGTGGAAGTGCTTGTCTTGTCATTCTGCCTGCTCACACAACTGCCTTTTCACTGCTGGATTTACTCATGTTACACCTTGAGCTGGATCATTGTAATTTCCCTCTCATATTCAGAGAATGGGTTAGAAGGGACTTTAAAAATAATCCACTCCAGCCCCCAGTGCTGTGGCTTTGTTTCACTTGTGGGTGAAGATCCTTGTAGTACCTTGCATCTGATACTCCTAAATTTTGTGTGAAAGTTCAAATCAGTGACCCTTTGCTGTATTTTGTGTTTATTAAGACCTGTACAGTGATCTGCTCATAGAAAATGTGCTTACAGGAAACCCATGTGTGTGTTAGTGTTGGCTAGAAGAAATTCCTAGTGCTGGGGCTGGCTGGAGAAGAGTCAGGAGTTTGTGTGGTGCCTGCTCTCCTTGTGGCTGTTGTCTGGGACTTTTATTGGTGTCTGAAATAATGTGTGCTAGATAAATGCAAGGTGCTTTGAGCCTGCCTGGATCCAAGGCTCCTGCTGTGGTCAGTGTTGGTTTATCTTGTGTATGTGTGTGTATGTGTTACATACATATTTTTAGGGTCTTTGTTTTACATTTTGTACTGAAATTTCCTTTTACCTTGGTGAGGGAACACCTCTGTCAGTGACAGCACCTGCATATTAATCTATTCTGGGATTTTTTTGTAGGTAGCACTTGCCTTTCTTAAACCCATTGTCTTTAAAAATGCTCCTCACAGAGCAGTTGCTGCTCAGCAATAGCAGCAGCTGAACACAGAGTTCAGGTAACTTGGAGCTCATTGCAAAGATTCCAAAGCTCTGCAGTATTTCCAGAGCACACAGCACACAGTGCCTGCTCTCACAGGTTCATATGGGAAGGGTCATGTTTGTTATCACAAACAGATGGTAGATGCAGGCTGTCCTGCTTCAGATCATGGTGAAATGGAGAAATTCCCGTCATAAGAGCAATCAGTCATGAGACACAGGACAGCCCTGCTTTAAAATTCTCTGCTGCGTTACACTTTGCATTATTTTTGTTTCCATCTGAACATGCTGACTCTTTCTGTGTGTTATTTTTACTCTCCCTCCTGTCTCTGTTTCCAGATAGGTGAAAGGATTCGAGTTATCCTGGACATGGAAGACAAAACATTAGCGTTTGAGAGGGGCTATGAGTTCTTGGGAGTTGCCTTCAGAGGACTGCCAAAAGTTTGCCTGTATCCAGCAGTGTCTGCTGTGTATGGTAACACAGAAGTGACTTTGGTCTACCTGGGAAAGCCTCTGGATGGATGACATGGATTGTTCTGTTGGGACGTCGAGATGTGGATGTTTGGGAGGAGAAATCTGCATGTTGGTTAGAGGGAAACGTGTATTAGAGGAAAAAAAGAACAAAAAAGTGTGGGTGTGTGTCCAAGAGCCATCGAGGGAACCACATGGAGTTTGGAAACGGAGGACCAGCCGTACTTCAGCAATTATGTTACATTTCCTCTTTCTACCAGGCCAGAAAAATCCTCAGGGCTGCAGTTGGTTGAGTGGGAAGCTGACACATGCATGTCGCAACAGATTTTATTGCTAAAATGGCAGTGTGACCTCAAACATTTAAGAAAGGACTTGATAAAAAAATGCTTGAGGAAATTAGCCTGGGATTTGTAAGTGGCGTGTTTTGTGAGAGACTCCCATTTCCAAACTGCTTGTTCCTTCTTTCCTTCCTTCCTTCCTTCCTTCCTTCTTTCCCTCCTTGGGGCCAGCATGGGGGCTGGAGCAGAGCTGGGGGTATTTACAATTTTTAGTGTCCTCAGAGGCACGGTCTGTGCAACTGCCCTGCTCTGGTATAACCATACAACACGTGTGCAGCTATTTTTAAGTGTATTTTAAGGATTGTATATAAAGAAAATGTTGAAAAGAACAGTTAAAAGAAAGGGTTTGCTTTATTCTAACTGGGACAGAATTTCTTAAAGGGAAAAAAAATCACCCCCCTCCCTGGCACCAGAACACACACCTGGGACAGGTGTACAGCCTTCATGTCAGTGCAGTTCTGTTGTAATGTGTTTTGGGATGCTCTTGTGGAGTGCGGTGCTGCTTTGGGTTGTTTCCTGTGAAAGTTTCCATGGCTTCAGTGGCAGGTTTGTTCCCTGTAGGAAACAAAAACGTTTTCCCCGCGAGTTTCCTTTCAGCAGAACTCGCGCTCCCCTCGGGGAAGGAAGGCTGAGCACAGCGCTGAGCCTGCCTTCCCCTCCACGTCAAAAATGCCACCTTTTCAAAGCATTCTCCCACTTGCTGATCACTGTTGTGAGATGTCTCAACATAATGTGGAAGGAGCATTGGGCTTCTGCAGCCAGACCTTACTTTCAGCTTCAGTGGCTTTATAAAGCTTTAAGCTTGCCTGAACCTTTCTTAACTGAATCAAATCCCCCAGCACCCCAACATTCACCTGCCCAGGACTAGTAAAACTCTCACCAGCCCTTTGGTGGGGTTTCTGGGTCACATGCAGTGTTTGTGCTCTTCACTGATTCTCTCAAAGCCATGCCCAGACCCCCCAGGCGTGTCTGTGTGCTGGCCTGTGCAGGCTGGGAGGCTGCCAGGTGTAGTGAGGAAGAAATTCCTGGTGAAACCACTTTGCTGTGAGGCTGGAAGGTCTGTAGGGAGCCCTAGGAGGGCCCTTCAGCAGGGCAGGAAGGCTGTGAGCCCCATGGCTGGCTCGTGACTGGTTTCATGCTGGCTGGCATCTCCCCGAGCTGCCTGGGCTGTTTCAGAGCTGCTTTTCAGAGGGAAAGGAAATGTTTCTACTTTTTTTTAGCTTGGTTTTTTTGCTTTTTTTTTTTTTTTTTTTTTTTTTTTTTTGTGTTTTTGTGCTAGAGAATGTGAGTTGCTTGGTACCAGACACTGGCAATTCTCTGAGCATGGAAGAAAGAGGAATTCCTCTTGGGCTGTTGCTCATCCCCTTCCCTGTTCCTCAAGGAAGTGAGTGAGGCTTTGCCTTGGAGTGCTTTTGGCCAGGTAGATCACCAGGTTCAGCCCTGGAACTGTGTAAGTCGTTACAATTTAAAGGATTTTAAAGTATTTATTTGTTCTGTGTGTTCATTGCTGAAAGGCAAATCAAGGTCTGTTCCTCCTGCTGCACCAGACAGAAACAGAATGTGCTGTGAGCAATGGAGGTGTTTTAGGTGGTGCTGAGAACAGCCAAATAAAGGATGTGAGACGGGCATCCAAGTACCCGGACAAATCTGTTACAGGCGTTGATTGTACTGGACTGTAAAGTGTCTGCAGAGCAGAACCGTGGGGCATAGAGTTGGGGATAAAGGAAACAAAACCCTGCCCAGTTTAGGGAAATAAATAGTCCCCAGGATGAATGTATCCTCAGTGCAGTCCTGAAAGATGCAACCTCTGTGGTTGTCCATGATCCAGTTAGAGGCAAGGAAACCCTGAGAATTCTGAGGAGTTTTAATCACAGATTCAGATTGATTCCCATTCTTCAGACTGCATCTTGCCCTCTAAATAATTTCCCTCTAAATCAGAAATGCTGAAAGTTGAACATTCCTTAAGGGTGGGTTTGGGTGGACTCACTTATGTAAGATTATAACTTATTCCTGGAGACCAATGCTGGCTGTACAAAATATTAAAATAAACTCTGCTATCATTCAGAAGGATCTATTGGTGTGGATTGTTGGAATGGCATCTGCAGAATCCCACAGATGGGAAGAAGGGAGCTGCAGTTTGGTGCCCCAAGAGGACAGAGGCGTTTGGGCTGTGATTTGGGCTGTGTGACTGCTGGGAAAGAGAGTCTGAGTGCTTAAGGAGAGCTTGGAAACTCAGGGATCTCATGGCTGTGATAGGAAATTGCCTCCTCTGAAGCAGGGATGCTCACTCCTGACTGTGGGAAAGGCATTCCTGCCTGCTGGAGGCCTCTGGGTTGGACTTGGGGTGCTGTGGTCACTGTCCCCACTGCTGCACCGAGGGGTCTCCTTCCCCCTCAGCTTCCTGCTGTTTCCTTTGCTTTCCCTGTGCAAGTTCAATATTGCACGGTGCTTTTAGGAAGAAATATTGTGGGTTTGAGCTCTGTGGCACTTTCCAAACTCTCTGCACCAAGAGTTTGCTTTTAAGCAGTAAATGCTGGCTGACACCTCCTTCAGGAGTAGAGAGGTTTGGTGCTGGTTTGCCAAGAAGGCAGAGTTGGTTTTTTTAGCCTGAGGAACCTCAGGGTCAGCTGAGCAGTTGTTTGGGGTATTTTTCCAGCCCTTACAGGGGATTTAAGGGCTTTGGTCAGGGGGAACATCAAGTGTTCACAGCCCCCATAACAGAAATCAGTCAGATTAACAGGTCTTGCCTTTAGACTCTTAACAGGATTTTGGGATAAACGAGCATTTTATCTGTCATTTTAATAAAATCCAAAATTCCTTGTGGTTTGAGTGTGCTGTGAGGTCTGTTGGGAGCTGAACAGTCAGTCCTCTGTCCCTGCCATGTCTCTGAGGAGGTGAGGAGCTCCCTGTGGTCACTGGTTGGGGGGCAGAGGCTGTTCTTGGCCTTGGTGGCACTTTGTGCTGGCCCTAAGCCTGTTGTGTGACACCTCAGGTGCTGCTGACAAACTGATAAGGTGGGCTGGGAAACTCCCTCCTGGAAAATGCTTTTATCCCAGCTGAAGGGCTGCAGTGAGTGTACATTTTTGGGAGCCCTGTGTGCACCTTCCCCTGGCAGAGGCCCCTGGTCCTGTCCCTCCTGGCCACGCTTCAGGTGACAAACCCGGGCAGGAGCAGATGGCCCCGGAGCTGTGGCTGTGCTCTTCCCTGCCTGCCTCCCACTGCAACAGTGAGAAATCCAACTTTCCTCCCTGCCTATCTCTGATCTACATTGCTGAATTCCCTGAGCACACTGGGTGTGTTTCCAGATGGCTGCCTCTATTTTTTTTCGTCTTCCATTTTCGCTGGGTTGATGACAGCAGCGATGAGTTAAAATAACCCTGGGCCTGATCATAGTCTGATCATGCAAAACTGGTTTTTTCAAAGTATTTAAGAGGTGAGCAGCCCTCAGTCATTCCTTAAGCAATGTATTTCCATGTGAATATTTCAGTTTTTACATGTTATAAATAGCTCTTAGATGTGTAAGTGAATTTTTTTTCACTTTCTTGCAGCGAAATCTGCAGACAGAAAACAGCATTATTGAAATTACACTAAGACCCTTTGTACACTTAAAAAGCAGGTTTTCAGGGGGCTGGCAGTGGCCATGCTTGACTCTGTAAGTGACAGTAGCCCACTTTGTGCTAAAGTATGATTGAAAGAAAAAATGAATGAAGCAGTGAATGAGCACAGAAGGCTTTTCCTGCAGTGCTGCTGGACCTGCTAATTCATCCCTTAAGCAGGTTTTTCCTGCTGCTGGATGAGGCTGTGTGACTACCAAAGGAACTCTCCCATCTCCCCACGAGAGGGCAAAGCTGTGGGGGCCTTGACTTGTGCTCAGACAAGTGCTGAGTACAAAAAATGTTTTTTATGTGGAACCTTCCCCCTTAAAAATGACTTCCTGTTCTTTTCAAACACCAAACCAAACTAAAAACCCTCAACAGGAGTGGATGATGGACATAGAATTTTTTTAAGTTCACTCCTTCATTTGAACCCCGCGTCCTGAAATAGGCTGAGCAAATATTTGCATTTCAGAAAATGATTTTTAGTGACACCAAACTGAGCCAAAGCTCCAAGATGACCTTAAAGGATTGAAAGGGATTTGAGAGGCTCAAACAAAATATCAGAGTTGCTGTTCAAGGTCCACTTTTTCCAAGACTTGCCTTTCTTCCCCTCCAGTTTTTATTATGAGGAAATAGGGATATCAGCAAAAAATTATTTTTAAAAAATCCATTGCAATTGAAAAAAAATCAGGGAATTGAAAGGGGATTTTTAAATGAAATTCATTGTATGTTACAAGTGGTGTTCATTCTTCTGCAATTTTACCAAGTCAGGAATTGAAGGGATTTTCCCTTCATGCCTGCACTGGCAGGTGTGGTGTGACCTACCTGCAGTGGTTTCATGTCTGCTTGATTTATTTTGCCTTTTGTAATGTGGAGCTTCCCTTGCTTAGGAGAACTCAGCCATTTCCCATCACTTTTAAATAGAAATCTAAGAGAGTAAACTCTGCCAGCTCCAACATGTGGCTTTATAAAGTGCTGGACAAACCTTCTAGTAAGGAAATGGATGTTGTCCAAAATGCTTTTTTATTGTATTCAAATACTGCAGAGGTTAACATTTTTCATGGAATCCAGATTGGTTTGGTCTGGAAAGGACTCATCCAGTTGCAGCCCCTGTCATGGGCAGGGATACCTTCCACTACACCAGGCTGTACAGCCTTTGCCAGTTCCAAATCACCTTTTGGGTTTCTTTGATGGCTTTCTGTTTGTTTTTCTGTGCTCGGGTGACAGAGGCCACTTTCTCACACCAGGTCCCATCTGACATTGGGCACCCCACCCCTTCCACAGGGTCTTGTGCAAGAGAGAAGGCTGGAGGGTGGGATCTTGCTTTGGAAGCAGCCAAAAGATTTTATCTCAGCTTCAGCATAAGGCTTGATCTATTCCTGGGTAAATAATCGACGTGAGCAGAAGTGGATCAGATTTGGAACATCAGTGGGACTCAGGAGAGGGTGCAGGATGGAAAGCAGGTGGTTTTTCGTGCCCACCTCACCCCACAGTGCTGTGCAGCTCTGGGATGTGACTGCTGGCAGCGTGAGCTGCTCTTCCCGGCAGGAAGGTGGAGAGCAGGAGGGAGATGGGATATTGATCCGAGTGTCTGGCTGAACCTCCCCCTCCTGTGCTGATTCAGGTCCCACTGAGGGCTGGAGTGCTTTCAGTCTGTCCCAGGGATGGCATTTCGGATGCAGCAGTGATGTCACCAGTGTTACACTGGTGTCACCTGTTAGAGTTTGTTTTAAAACCCCACAGAAATATCCTGGCAGATATCCTTTTCTTACCCAAGGGATGTGTCCGAGGTGCTGGAGCATGCTGGAGCAACTCCAAACCCAAAACCCACAGACAGGTTCCTTTTCTTACCCGAGGGATGTGTCCGAGGTGCTGGAGCAACTCCAAACCCAAAACCCACAGACAGGCTTTGTCCCTCAGGGAGCATGCTGGAAATGCAGGGATGCTGTGTCCCATGGCTGAAAACCTGGGAGAAGAGGACTTTGTAGGGTGCATTTGCTTCCAGAAGATCTGCCTGCCACACCAGGCTGGGGCACAGGGATGTTGGCCCTTCTGGCCAGAGAGGAAGATGGGTGGGACATGCTGAGCTCTGCAAGGAGCTGAGAGAGTTTCACTTCCCTTTGGGTTCGTGACTGAATTACTCACTTCTCTTAAGCAGAATGGCAGCAGGGAGGGAGTTTGTGGGGCTGCAGATGGGGGTAGGTTTTTTTTTTTGGTCAAAATTTGCATTCCTGAATGATGTCACAGCAGTGACTTGTCCAAACCTTCTCCTTCTAGTGACTTACAGCCTCCAGCCTTGAGGGCTTTAGGCTAAAATCTGACAGGGAGGAGGTTTAGATTTAATATTAGGAAGAAATTATTCCCTCCTGGCACAGGTTGCCCAGAGAAGCTGTGGCTGCCCCATCCCTGGAATTGTCCAAGGCCAGGCTGGACGGGACTTGGAGCAACCTGGGACAGTGGAAGGTGTCCCTGCCTATGGCAGGGGGTGAGACTGGATGGGCTTTAATGTCTCTTCCAACCCAAACCATTCCACGATTCTGTGATAAGAGACTTTGGTTAATGTGCTGGAGTAGCTGGGTATGGGGGTTTTATTGCTTTCAATGGTTTATTTCATTGTACAGTACAACAAAGCTCAATTTATCCACGTTTGGCAATCCTATGTGAAAAGCTCGGGCAGCTCCTTCAGCTCTAACTGCAATCACAGTCCAAATTAGATGAAAGCAACCTGGTTGTGGGGCTTCCCAGCCCCTGAGGAGGTCTAGGAGGAATCACTGGGTGGTTTGGGTTGGAAGAGATATTAAAGCTCATCCAGTCCCACCCCCTGCCATGGGCAAGGACACCTTCCACTGTCCCAGATTGCTCCAAGCCCTGTCCAACCTGGCCTGGAATACTTCCAGGGATGGGGCAGCCACAACAACTCTTGGCAAAAGATCAGAGGTCTTTTCTGACTTTGGGCACTGGCTTTCCTGCAGATGCTGTTCTCCAGAGCATGTGGACTCTTGGATCACAAGACAGGGGATGCACTTGGCTCTCAGTTGCTCAGAAATACGAGATTCTGCTGCTTTAGTATCCAACACATCCCGCTGCACACTGTGCTCTGGAGACCAAGTGATCCAGATATTCTCCTGTCCTCCCAGAAGTTCACAGCCTCGTGGTGCTGGATCCCGAGGAGCCCCCAGACCTCAGCCTGGGAATGGCAGGAGCGTGCCGGCTGCGAGCGGTGCCGGAGCGCGGCCGCAGGGAGGGCCAGGGGGAAATGAGATCCCTTGTGCAGCTTTCCCTCTCCAGCCGCTTCCTCCTCATTTACAGGCCGAGCAGGAAGAGCGCTGACCACGGATGGAGCTGCCTGGGCTGGAGCTGCCTGCGGGAAGGGAACTGGGCAGAACCCCACCCCAGCACGGGCTCTGACAGGGGCTGTGGCCGAGCCACTGGCCGAGCCTCCTCAGGACAGAGCCCTCTTCTGCTGAATTCAGGGCTGCTGCTGCTTGCTGGGATCAGGGTGAGGCAGAGGACAAGAGCACCTTGCTCACTGGAAGAAGGATGTGTTAAGCACTGTAGTGCCAGGCCAGAGCTGCTAACAGTGGACTTTAAAACCTGTTCTTGTGTGTGAACATCTGAATGTCCTTGCCATGGCTTTACACGTGCAGCAAATGCTCCTGGCAAGGAGAGCAGTTGTTGAGGAAATGAAAAGCATCACCCTTACTTGAGAAACCAAACTGTTAATAAACACGTAATAAAGAAAACAACATGAAGATGTTGGTGCTAACTGCAAAGGCTGGGTGAGTTCTGGTGCCTTCCCCAGCCCTCTGAGGCTTCAGAAGATAGAGGTCCACTCCCTTAGCAGGCAGCTCTCACTAGCATCCATACCAGTGTTTAGTCAAAAATCCCTCTTCCCTTCCCACTCTGTGCTCTCAGGAATGTGGGTTTGCCTCCCACTAAATCCTGTTCCTGCCTTTCTTCTGAGTCCCATAGAGGAAATTGGCACCTTTTGGGGACTGGGGGGTCACAGGTGGGATCCTCTATGAAGTTCTTGTTGTGGGGCTCCTGATTGGTGTTTAGATCCTTGATCAAATATCTTCCAAGCCCAAAGACATAATTTTCCCAATTGTTCACCTGGATCCCTGTAGGCTTGTTGCAGGTTGTCAGTCTGGGGGATTTTTGTCTCCCCCCTCCTGCCTGATCTCCCACAGCCCCAACTCCTCTGGTGTTGGCAGCCAGCGTGATGCTGCAAGGGTGGGCGAGCAAGCCCAGGGCTCTGCTCAGAACAACCCAGAACTAATCCTGACTCAAAGAAGTCTTCCTTGAGCCCTGCTTTCCATCAGAAAACCTGGCAAGAGCTAGGAGATTTCTGACAGCTGGAAATATGTTGAAGAAATTCCTGGCTGTAGGGGTGCTGAGGCCCTGGCACAGGGTGCCCAGAGAAGCTGTGGCTGCCTCTGGATCCCTGGAATGTCCAAGGCCAGATTGGCTAGGGCTTGGAGCAACCTGGGCTAGTGGGAGGTGTCCCTGCCATGGCAGGGGGTGGAATGGAGTCCTGCCAGAGGAGGATGCTGGGGCTCCAGGGGCTCCCAGACACACAATTCACTGCAAAACCAGAGCCTGGAGCTTTACTGACAGATGCAGGAGCTGGCACGTGCCTTTCCTTGGACCCAGGTAAAGCAGCAGAGGGGTGGTTCGAGCACAGCTTGGAGGAGAAGTTGGTTTTGAGGCTGGTTATAAATCCTTGGTTTTTGTCCCTTGGTTTCCCCTGCAGGAACTGCCCCAGGGGAGCTGTGCTCCCTGCAGAGCTCCAGCCCTGCTGCAGCTCTGGGGCTCTCTGAGCCCACACTCCTGTACAGCAGTGCACCATCCTGGGATGGGACACATCCCTGGCTACCCCTGGAGTGAAATTCCCATTGGGAAATTCAGCCAGATGAAATTCCAGAGCTCAAGGTTAAACTTCAGGCATTGAGCTGTCCATTTCAGCTTTTCCTTTTTGCCCATGGAACAAATTCTTTTTTATTTTTTGTGTTCATGGTTCCTCTTAAATTAAAGGCAACTACTGCTGCTGGCAGCTCCTAAGATACAGGAGACCTCAGGCTTGTTTTATCCCGAGCAGGTGATTAAATAAAATAAATTAAATTAACAATGCTTTGCACCATCATCCCTTGCAGAACCATTTTTAAAATTCTTGCCAGTTCTCCATCCCAGTGAGATGCCCATGGAGAAATATTTCCGTTTCCCTTTTCCCCCACTCAACAGGTCCTGCTGCTGTGTGAACCTTGAGTGACCCTTTGGTGCTTCCATTTGGGAATAAATCACATTTCCTGCAGGAAAACACATGTTCAGTGATGGGATTGCTGTTTCCTGTTGCAGTTTCCTTTTCCCAAGGGTCCTGTGCTGGGTGCATTCCAGGAGAAACCAGGAGCCTGCCCTCTTATCACAGCTTTGCTCTTGGGTTGTGTTTGACAGTTTGAAGGCTGTTAAGGGAAAAAGATTGTTTGGAGGAGGAGGAGGAGGTGGGAGGAATGGAAGAAGCTCACTGGGTGTAAAACCATAAGGGGATTCCCAGTTGTCTCCTACAGCTGCAGGAATTGCAGCTGCACGTTTGGACATGGCTCCAAGCAGCTGAATCTCCTTCAGTTCAACCCCCCCGGGCCATTGAGCTGCACTGGAGCTTCCTGAAGGGCTGATCAGAGGAGCAGCTCCTGGCAGCTCAATCCCCATCCCTTCACTCTGCTGGTATTAAAAAATAAATTACCCCCTCTCAAAGCACACATCAAATCCTTACTGAGAGGACTGGGTGGGGGTGTGAGGGGAGGAAAAGGAGGGGACCAAGCAGCAGCTTCAGGACCTTTTCAGAGCCATCCGGCTGCAGGATGTGGGGAAAGTGTGAAGAGCAGCAGCACTGCAGATGCCCCAGCACAGAGCCGTGGGGTCAGCCCTGAAGTGGGGCTGCTTTCCAGGAACAGCAGGGTGGGGGAAAACCTGGATGGGCCCTGAGGGGCTCTGCCAGCCCGTGGTGCTGCTGGGGACGGGGGTTACACTGCTCTGGCTTTGGGGATGGGGATGAAGGAGGTTGTTTTCTCTCCCAGTTCCTGCTGGGCTGCAGGAGGAAGCTGGTTTGACCCCCAGGGCACCACCAAAAGGAATCTCATCAGAAGGAATCTCATCTCTCCCAGAGCCTGCTGATCCAGAGGGTGGAGTGTGGTCACGGCTGAGGATGCCCAAGTGCCACAGCTCTGCCAGCTCCCGTGTCTCCAAGCACCAGGTGAGGGGGTTGAGTGTGGGCTCGTGGCAGGGTTTGGGATGAGGAGTTTGTGGTCATCAGCTGATCTCAGCCTTTTGTGTGCCCTTGAGCAATGCCATGGGAATTTTGCCCTTCTGTGAGCTTCTGCCAACTCCTGTTCGCTTCTCTCTTCTCCTTCTTGATTTTTATACATCAAACTTCCTTGAAAATGGAGGAAATGAAACCACAGGGCTTTTTTGTGAGTGACAAGGGACAGGTCAGACTCCTCCCAGAGAAGAAATGAAATTTAGGGGGAAAGCAAGAAAATTATCTCCCTGATCATTTTTGCTGGTTTCAGGATTTTGGGGGTCACGTGGTCTGGCAGTTCATCTCCCGAGCCTGCAAATATCCCATTGGCACCACGGAACACATGGCATGTGGAGCATGGACCTGCTGATCCCAGACAGGTCCTGCTGCAGGGCTGAATGGATCCTTTCTCCATAGTTTTGAACCCTTTCCCAGCTAGGCAGATCTGGGCAATGTTTTCCTCCTCAGAGGCTGGGTTTGCTGGGGACTTGAGGGTGTGTGAGGACCATGGGAAGGGGGAGACATGGTGTGGGGAGGTGGAGAGCAGAGGTAGATGGGGCTGAGGAGGTGCATATTGCCTTGGAAATGTGGATCTTTGTTTCCTGGCAGCTGCAGGAAGAGCCATTTCAGCTGACTTTCACACAGGGACTAGCACTCAGGAGGTCCCTGCATCCAGGTGGTTCTGACTTGGGCCCTGGGTGCTGGGTTTGCTGAAATCTTGAGCAGCCCCAGGACACCCGAAGGTCTGGGAGCAGGGGGATAAGAGTGTCCTCAATCTCACTTGGACAAGGTGAGGGACAGACACAGGCTTCCCAAAGTTACTGGAGACTCAACACCTGGGACATGTCCAGCCTTGCCTTGGGATGCAACAGGAAATAACAGCACCTTCTTCCCCCATAGGACATGCATCCCTTGGCTCCTGTCAAACCCCTGAGCTGGGCACTGGAGGCAAGAGGGATCTGGAGGGACACAAGGGGAATAGGTGCCATGCAGGGGTGGCATTTCTCCACCCTGCAGGAGTGATGGCGTGGCTGTGCAGGGCAGAACCACCCCCGGTCACCATCTCTGTGGGCTGAGACCCCGAGCGGCGGTTCTGCTGCTGGAGCTGCGCAGAGGAGTCACCGTGCAAGGCTTGTCCCCAGTGCTGGCTTGTCCCCAGGAGCTGTGTGACACCCTGTACCCCTCGCTGCCTGCTGGGCCCCGTGGTTCCTCCTTGCCGTGGGTGAGTGCATGACCCGGGCTGGGAGCGCCGCGCTCAGCGAGGAGAGCAGGGCCGCGCTCGCTGCCTCCATGTGACTGCAGTTTCCGCTGGCTCCTTCCGCAAAGGCTAAATTGGTGCTCAGCCACGGGGCGGGTGGCACACGGCCTGGAGGGTGGCACACGGACCCCGTGGGTGGCACACGGACCCCGTGGGTCACCCCTACCCCTGTCCCCGGGACCCCCCTGAGCGCAGCTGAGGGGCCGCAGGATGGACCGTGCCGAAGGCCGGGCGCTGTTCCACGCGGTGAGTACTGCCCCCGATACCTGTGCTGGGGGAAACACCACGGGGGTTCCCTGTGCCAGTCTGGGGACCTGTGGTGGCCGTGTGTCACTAACACCCGTGCTCGAAGAGCTGTGGCTGCGTGGGCTTGTGCTGGGGTTGGTGTGAAGCGTGGGGAGCACCCGGGAGCTCCCAGAGCTCTTGGATGTGGGCTCTGGTGTAGGGCTGCGGGCAAGGGTTTCCTGCTGGGGCTGCTGCCTCCTCTCCTGGCTGGCCAGGTGCCATCCCACCAGCTCCAGGGAGCACTGGGAGGATGGAGGTGCTTCTGGTGTTGGAAGAAGCCAAGAAAGGCTGAGCTGGGTGAAGTAAAGTGGGAGTTTCTGCAGAGAACCAAAACTGTGTTCTTTGGGTGCAGCAAGGACCAAGGTCCAGGACAGCAAGGTCCCTGTCCTGCCACCATGCCTGGGTATGAACTACTGCTGGACTCCAAGAACTTGAGAGGGCAAAAGAAGCTGTGTGTCACTTGCAGCCTGGGGAAAGGGGACTACCTCTCCATCTCCCCCAGAGTAATAAATCCTGCTTTGATAATGCACCAGCTCAACACTTTGGCTGTCCCAAGGAAGGAGACAGCCCAGGACATGCTCTACTCCCTCTGTGCTGCGAGGCTCTGGCTACCTGGGCTGCCCAAAATAACCCCGTTTCTCCTTCATGCAGTGGCAGCTGTGAAAGTGCCGTGTGTCAAACACTTGCTGAGCCCTCACTGCTCATTTGCCTGAGTTTCAGCTTTTCCCCAGATGCAAATGCCGTCAGCTCCGCTCCCACCAGGTCAGTAGCGGGGCAGCTCCTGCTGGAGAGCCTCTGTTCCCTGGAAGGGCCCCCAGCAGGGATGGGCACTGTGGGGACGTGGTGGGGGGTGGGTTGGTGTCCCCTGGAAGTGTTTGATTCCAAGAGGAGGCACATGAGCCCTGCTGGGGGACACCCTGCTCGAAGGATGCAGCTCAATGGCCTTCACGAGCAGCTGTGCAGTGCAGCACCCATGGTGCCTTCCCCCTGCCTCCCAGGCTCAAACTGGGGGAGCCCCACGAGGCCTTCTGCTGGGGTGGGTGGGCTCAGTGCCAAGGCTCTGTGCCCCTTCTTCCATGGGCAGTTCATGGTGGCCCAGGTCACCTGGGCTTTTTGGGGTGAACAGTTTGCAGCTTCTGACCTCCTCCCCTCTACCTCCCTCTCCACAGGAGTGCCGCCACTGAGATGGAGGCCCCACTCCCTGGTGTCTCCCTGCTTCTTCTCCTCCTGGCTGTGGGATGGGGAAGCAGGATGCACGCAGCCTGGGCATCATCTCCTGGGGGCTGTGAGCTTGTAAGTCCTCTTTTGTGAACCCTCACCCCTCTGAGTGCTTGCTCCTGCCTGGCAAAGCCCAGGCAGCTCAGCATCTCCAGACCTTCTCCATCCCAGCTACTGCCTTGGAGTGGACTGGTGGGCCAAGGCTACAACCAAAGTGCCACCTCCTCCTCCCTTACTGTGCTCCCCAGACTTCTCCCTCCTCATCTCCTGCCTCCCACAGTGGTGTTATATGTCCTCCTCTTCCTTCAGGTGCAGAGCATCATGGACTGCACTGGCAGATGGCTGAGTTCCATCCCAGGAAACCTTCGAGGCGATACCGAGGAGCTGTTTCTTGATGACAACACTATCCAGGTTCTGGGCAATGCCTCTCTGCTCCTGTATCCCCAGCTCTGGCATCTCAGCTTGACCAGGAACCAGCTGGAGCTCATTGAGCCCGGTGCCTTCCTCAGCAGCCAAGGCTTGGAGGTGCTCTCCTTGACAGACAACTTGCTCTTCACCAACTACTCGCTGACAGCTGCTGCTCTGTCTGCTCTGCCGGCCTTGAGGATGCTGGATCTGGCTGGAAACCAGCTCAGGGAGGACATGGTATCAGTTTTAGTCTCAAACCTCTCTTCCTTGGAGTCCCTGTCTGTGGCCAGGAACATCATCATGAGGTTGGACTCATCCATCTTCACAAACCTGACAGAGCTGCTGGAGCTGAACCTGGAAAAGAACTACATCTTTGAGATTGACAATGCTTTTGAAGGGCTGCAGAGGCTGCAGAGGCTCAACATAGCTTACAACTACCTCCCATGTCTGGTGGGGTTTGACCTGACCCAGCTCAGGGTGCTCAACGTCAGCAACAATGTCATTGAGTGGTTTCTGACCCTGGAAATTGATGACCTCTTTGAGCTGGAGGTGCTGGACCTGTCCCACAACCGCCTCCTGTTCTTCCCTGTGCTGCCCCAGAAGAGCAAGCTGCACACCTTGCTGCTGCAGGACAACAGGATGAGCTTCTACCAGCGTCTGCCCAACGGCACCTTCCTGGCCAACGTCACCATGCAGTTCCTGATCATTGATGGCAACTACACCAACATCACAACAGTCAGGCTCTGGGACGAGCTCTGCCACAGCAACCTCTCCTCCCTGCGCCTCCTGGACATGAGCCAGAACGAGGTCTGGGGCCTGCCAGACGATTTCCTGGCCCAGATGCCCTCCCTGACCCACCTGAAGCTCAACCAGAACTGCCTGGAGGCATTTCACCTGTCGGAGGAGGACCCCTTGGACATGCTGACAGAGCTGGACCTTAGCCAGAACCAGCTGGTGGAGCTGGGGGTGAAGGTGGGTGTTGGGGACATCCTGCCCAGCCTGCAGTTCTTCAACCTCAGCACCAACAGGCTGCAGGCTCTTCCTCCCGGGATTTTCACCCGCACCAGGAAGATCACTACTCTGGACCTCAGCTACAACCGGGTTGACCTCTGTCCCCAGCCAGATGAGGCTGAGAGTCTCGCCTGCGTGGACATCAGGGGTGTGGAGACCTTGATCCACCTCTCCTTGGCTGGCTGTGGTCTGCAGGGGATGGGTGGCCGTCCCTTCCAGGGGACATCGCTGATTCACCTGGACCTCTCTGACAACCGCCAGGTGCTGTCCGGGGACCCGGGGTGGCTGCAGGACCTTGTCCTGACCCTGCAGGTGCTGTCTCTGAGGAACACCAGCCTCTCTTCCACCGCCGTGGACTTCTCTGCCCTGAGCAGCCTCGTGCGCTTGGACCTCTCCGGGAATTGCTTGGCTGCGTTCCCCACCTCGCTGGGCAGGCTGAGGCTGCGCAGCCTGGACCTGCGGGACAACTGCCTGCGGGAGCTGCCGCGGGACGTGGCGCAGGTGCCGCTGGGGAGCAGCCTGCGGGAGCTCTACCTCAGCCGAAACCCCTACAACTGCTGCACGCTGGGCTGGTGGGACGCCCTGCAGCAGGCCGAGGGGCTGCGCGTCCCCGACGGGCGGGAGGTGACCTGCAGCCACGGCTCCCGCGCGCTCAGCCCCGGCGCGCTGCCCCAGCCCGTCCTGCAGAGCTGCCGGTGGCAGACGGCCGACCTGGCGCTGCTCTACCTGGTGCTGGCTCTGCCCACCTGCCTGACGCTCCTGGTGGCCTTCGTTGTTGTCTTCCTCATGGTCAAGGAGAAGCTGCTGAAAATGGTGAAAACCCGGTGTGGGGTGTCCAGCCCTTACTAATGGCTGAGGAAGAGGAAGGGCTCGGGAATAGTCAATAACAGGAGGTGGTCAGGAGTACGGGTGATAACCCCTCTGAGGTGGTCAAGACGGAAACCTGATGGATGCAGGACAGGAGGTGCTGGGAGAGCTGCCATTCCTGCCCTAATGGTACCCAAAGGGTGAGGGCGGTGTCTGGTGATGGAGCACAGGGAATCCTCAATGGACGTGTCTTCAGCAGAAACCTTCAGCTAGTGTTGGTGAGAGCTGAGTGGACAGGACATCAAACATTCCTTGGCTGAAAGGACAGGTTGCCCAGAAAATCTGTGGATGCCCCATCTGTGGAAGTGATCAAGGCCAGGTTGGAGTGGACTTGGAGCAATCTGATCTAGAGGAAGGTGTTGTAACCAGATGGGTTTTTAAGGTCCCTTCCAACCCAGACCATTCTGGGATTCTGTGACAGTTTTCTCCACCACTGCTTTCCCTACCCACCTTCCAGCTGTTCCTTTTATTTATTCCCACCTGTAGCCATTTCAAAATGTCTTCCAGATCTGCAACCAGCCTCCAAAGTGCCCCAGGCTGGAGCAAACGTCACCTGGGCGCTGTGCAGAAGGGTCTCTGCAGTGCTCTTGCCAGCACTGCCAAACTTGCAGGCAGCCCTGATCATGCACCATGTGCGTGTACTGATAAAGACAGGCGTTGTCAGCAGGGCTGAAAGACACATTTTGGGGTGTTGTTTCTTCACCAAGTCACAGTCTGGGTTAGAAAAGTGCATTAGAAACAGCCCAGGTTGCAACAACGGGAAATATCGATTGAAAAGCAGGAGAGTAAATTACATCCCTCGGTGATATTTTATCATGGATTTATGTTTCTCCAGTGACTGCTGGATTAAACATACAAAGGAAACAAGAGAAATCCTTCCTCCTTGTTGTGCAAGCCCTGCTCCCGCGGGCAGTGCCCGGGGGTTTCCTCCACCCAGCTCTGCTCACAGCAGCTCTGCCTCTCCCAGAGCAGCAAGCACTACCTGGGGAAGTGCTGCTCTGCTCCTCGGGGGTCACTGAGGGGAAAGGAGAAGTGGTGGTGGTTTGTGCTAACTCAGAAGCCCTTCTGAGAACTGGAGTGGCTTTATTCCTGTGGCACTGTTGGGATTTTTCTAGTGAAACATGTTTAATGGGAACAGGGCACAGGGAAGTGTGCAGCAGTGTCTGAGTGGGAATTCTGGGGGTTTGTCCTGTCTGGGTGTGGGGGGCTCAGTCGGTGATGTGGGGTGTGCCGGGGCTCAAGCCCAGGGGAGTTGTCCTGTGAGGTGATGGAGGGAGATGCCCAGGACTGGCCTGAAGCTGGGAGGATGCCGGGGATGGCGCAGGCAGGGGAGCCAAGGCTGGCAGCAGGGCAAACCCTTCCCAGGCACGGGTGTGGGACTGGGCTCATGGGGGAGCCTGCTGTGGCTGGCAGCTGTGCAAGGCTGGAAGATGGATGGGTCAGACTCTGCTAGACCAGCCAGCAGCTCCACTGGGGCTGAGAGCAGTACAGGCTCTGGAAACCCATCTGTCAGATCTGGCTCGGAAATGACCGCTTTCTGCCCCAATTTTAGACTGAAATAGCCAAAACCAAAGCAGGCCCCAACTGGGGAATCCCTCAGCCTATTTCAACCCTTCTTCTGCCCGTAAGCTGCACCCTGGGGGACAGCAGTGACCTATAAATACATCCCTGCACTGTTCCCCAGCTGCATTCCGGAGTCTCCCCGCCGGCAGGGTGAGCCAGTGCCCCTGTGAGCTCCCTTCTCCCTGGGGCTGGGCTTGGAGAGGGATGTGTGTCCTTCCCCAGCTCCACAGCCAATGCTGCTGCTCCATCTGGTGTGGGCTGTGGGGTGCAGCTGTGGGAGAACACGTAGGGAGGAACCCAGGCACCTGGCTCTGCCCAGGGCATGGCTAAAAAGGAGGGATTCTTAATTGTATGGAGCTGATGGGGATACTCAACATTCCCTCATGATGGTGCCTGGAAAGCCACGGCTCACCTGGAGCTGTGATGTGAATGGGATGCTGGGGCAGCAAGAGGAGATTCCACTTTCTGAGGTGTCCTTACAAAGCTGCTCTCAGCATCTTTGCAAGGTGATGGTGATCAGGGAAGGTCCTTGGTGACTGGAGAACCCAAGGGTCCCACCCAGTTTCAGTAACAGCCAAAAGGCCATCCCAGAGGGCAACAGGATAGTCACCTTCATGTTGGGAAAACCATGGAATGAATGTTCTTTGTTTGGAGCACAGTTCTAGAAAAAGAAAGTGGCTGGAAGAAGTCAGCATGGACTGCTGAGGCTAAGTTATGCCTGCCCAACCTGCTCTCCTCTCAGGATGAAATGGATGGATGTGTGGGCAAGGGAAGAGTGGTGGATTCCCTGTGCCTCAGCAAGGCTTTGGGCACAGAGTCCCACAATGTTCTCCATACAAATGCAGATGTCACAGTCTGGATGATGGGCAGCCAGGCAGGTCAGGATCAGTGGGAGTAGAGGGCTGTGGCCAGTAGGATGTGCTCTGCCAGGAGGCTGCTGAGGGGACTGTTTTGGGATCTGTCCCATTTCATGTCTTCATGCATGATCTAAAGCTGGCTGTGAAGTGCCTTCCTGTCAAGTTCCCAGAGGATCCCAAACTGGGAAGACCAGTATGGTTCCCTGCTGAAGGTCTGGGGTGGGCTGGAGGAATGGGCCAGCAGGAACCTCACAATCCAGGCACTTGATTGGCCTCATGTAGCCCTCACTGGAGAGGGGGCCATGCCCAGGGCCAGGCACAGGCCATGTCCTGCTCAGGATGAGCTGGTGGCAGGCTGGAAGTGGAGGAGAGGTTCCCAGGGGCCCTGTCCCTCCCAAGTGGGAGACTTTCTGTATTGTTATGTTGTTGTTGAGGCAAGGCCTGTGCCAGACCCCTGCACACTCTTTCCTGTCCTGGGAGAGCTGAGTCAGCTTTTACATTCTTTTAATTTTGGCAAGTGAGGTCTCAGCTTTCAATTCTCTCCTGACTGAAGATCCCCTTGGCCAAGTGTGAGCTCCCTCGTGCTTTCTAGTGACAGCACACTTGCTCCGTTTTTCACAGCAGTGATTCATTTTGGGGTGTAGGAGGAGAGCTCTTCCAGCTGCTCCTCCAGCCACTCCTCTTAGTTATGTCAGGCAGCAGTTTGTTGAGGCCCCTCAATTTGGGATGAAGGCCCATCTCACCCACAGCCCTCACACCTGCCTGGGTTGAGAAAGCCAAAACCCTGGAAGCTTTTGGAGTTGTAAAATTTCCCAAAGAATCCTAATCTTAGTCCTCCAGTTCTTACACGAGAACAGGACTGATCTGTAGAGACCAGCCAAGGTAGACAGCTGGACTAAAACCTTCAGTGGGACAGCTCTGTCTTACTCTAGAACCACCCCCAGGCTTTGACCTTCTACCACTCTGGTTCTTCAGGTACTTTAAGCACATTCTCCCAGAACTGAGCACTTATGAGGAAGCATCATGCAGGAGTGTAAGAATCCAACCATCCCACTGCAGCAGTTTGAAATCACTGTGTTTTCAAAAGTACTTTGAAGACTAATTCATTTTCAACATATTCATTCTATTACATGTAAGGACTTATTTTTGTGTAAGCTAAAACTGGAGATTTAAGCATTGCTAGGGAAATGTGAGAGTAACATTCTCAATGCAGAGTTGATTTATCCAGAATGACTGATACATATTTAACTTCCCAGTAGGCAATAATAATCACCCTATTTGTACAGTACAGCTTTAACAGTGTCCTCAGGACATGAATATTTAACGCTTCATTTTCAGCCCAAGCTGACTGAAATGTAAAAAATTGAAAGATTAAATAATTTAAAATTCTTTTATGGAGGAAAAGACTGAAACCAGCCAACAATTTCAGCTGTGCAGTTTCCATTTAATCAAGTCTGGCTTCTTAAACAAAGCTCACTTAAGCCTGGGATAGCTGTGGCACCTCGGGTTCTCCTGAGCCAATGTACGATGACATTGTTCTCTCTGCTGGGACGCTGAGATTTGTCTCTGAACTGCCCATCTTTGTCTGGAATCAGATTTCTTCATCTGACTCCATGTCCCAAGCACAGGACTCCAGCTGCTCATCCTGTGGGAAATCCACCTCAACGTTGTAAACGAAGTCGGGGTCATCCTTCTTCTTCCTGTTCTTTTCAAAGACCTTGTCCATGATGCTCTTCCTTTTGGCCAGTTCCTTATCATCCAGTTTGTTCATATCCTCCTCTGGGTCAATAGTCTCTTCCTTATGAAACCTTTCCAAGCTCTCAGAAAGGCTCTGTCCTTCCAAATGACCTCTCAGCAAGCTGTAGAGCTTCTGGAGCTGGTGCAGCGAGACCCCTTCCAGGTAGGCCTTGTGCCGAGGGTTGTTCTTCAGCTGCTCGGCAGCCCTGCCGCAGTCTGGGGAGAGCCAGCACAGGCACCTGCAGCTCCAACAAACCTCTTCCCACTGACACAGCCCCTCCCAAACCCTCCCCAGGGATGTCTCCAAACCCTCCAGCCACTGAGATGTAACCTTGGGCTCCTGGGAGAGGCAGCATTACCCAGCACAGCCCCTCCCTGCACGCCGCTAGGAGGGCACCCAGTGCTCCCAGCAAGGCTGCTGCCAATGGGCTCTGCATGCAGCTGGGGAAAAGAGTGAGTGAATGCAGACAGCAAGGAAAGAATGCATGCATTCAGGAAGGAACGCCCCCCACCTGAGAACCTGGAGAAATTCCTGACGGGCATGATGCGCTGCCGAGTCTTGTCCTGGCTGTTGTCTCTGTAGATGAGAATGATGGACGGGGGCTGGAAGCAGATCCCGCATTTCTGTGCACTGAAAGTCATCCTGGCTCCATCAGAGCCTGCAGCAGCTCTCCCTGGGAAGCAGGGAAAAGGAAAGCAGGTGGCAGAGTCTCTCAGTGCTGCTCCTTGTGTCAGGAGTTCAGCAAAATCACAGAACCCCAGAGTGGTCTGGGTCTGACCGGGCCTTAAAGCCCATTCTAATTTAATTATGAAATTAAATTAGAGGGGACTTAAAAATCCAAATCTGCTGCAGATCCTGTTCCCAGCTCAGTGGACAGCACTGACTGCAGGTGTTACTTTTAGTTTTAATAAAATAAATAGGT